CTAGCTAAAGGTGTGTCAATTTTGTTGATCTTTTCAAAGAACTATAATAGCTTTATTTTATTAAATTTACTCTATTTATTTCTGTTATCCACTTTATTTGTCTCTGCTGTAATAATTATTTTCTTTTTTCTGATAAATTTAGTTTTGGCCTGTTCTTCTTTTTCTAGTACCTTACCATGTAAAGTTAGGTTGTTGATTTGAGATCTTTCTTGTTTTTTATTTATTTATTTATTTTACAGAGGTAAAGTAGTAAAAGAGCAGTTTATTAGGAGAAAAAGTACACTTTAATCTTTCTTGTTTTTTAATGTAAGCATTTATGGCTATAAATTTCTCCCTTAGCAGTGCTTTTACTGTGTCCCATAAGTTTTTTTTGTTTGTTTGTTTTTGTTTTTGTTCATTTTGAGTATTTTTTAACTTTCCTTGTGATTTCATCTTTGATCCATTGGTTGTTTAAGAATGTGTTGCTTCATTTTCACAAATTTGTAAATTTTCCAGTTTTATTTGTTTCTGATTTCTAACTTCTTGTTATGGTAGGAGAAGATACTCTGTATGATATCTGTCTTTTAAAATCTGTTGAGACTTAATTTCTGGCCTAACATATGATTTATCCCAGAAAATGTCCCATGTGCATTTGAGAAGAATGCGTATGCTGATGTTGTATAGAATGTTCTGTTAGATCTAGTTGGTTTATTGTGTTAAGTTCTTTATTTTCTTACTTATCTTTGGCCTGGTTGTTCTATCCATTATTGAGAGTAGGGTATTGAAGTCTTCAACTATTATTGTAAAACTGTCTATTTCTTCCTTTAATTCTGTCAATTTTTTGCTTCATATATATTGATTGTCATTAGATGTGCAAATTTTTATAGTCATTATCTTTTCTGTATTGGACCTTTTTGTTAATGTATATTATCCTTCTTTGTTTCGTAACTTTTTTATTTAAAATCTATTTTTTCTGACATTAGTATAGCTACTCTTGCTCTCTTTCAGTTACGGTTGTATGGAATATCTTTTTCCATCCTCTCACTCTTAATCTAATTTTCCATGTTTCCCTTGTTTTAATTTCCTAAATACTATTATTAATTATGCAGTTGATTCTGCTGCAGTTCATTCTTTTGGGTTTTCATGAAACTGAAAATACTACACACTGCAGACATGCAGGGTAGGAGTATCTTGTTCTGACTTTAATAGCTCTAGAGTTTCACATTAAGCATGATATTGCTGGTTGCTTTCCAGATAGATAATTGAGTTTGCCTGTGCATAAGACACAGAGGGGCTGTGAGCTTGCCTTGGGTGAACTTTTCTTTTCACTGTTCCTTACTGTAGCCTTCAACGCAGACAGATCTGACTTTATTTCCTTACATATGAAATACATGTTTAACATATTCCTCTATCCTTCTAAGAGGAATAAAATGTTTTATGCTTTAAACCTTTAAGTTTCACTGAGAATTTTTCAATAAGCTGTCAAATTTCAAGTCGCCCATCTATCTTTTTTTGTCTCATTTCACATGTGCTTGCGTCTGCTGCATGATTTTATTTTAGTTTCATATTAATCTGCTGCTGCTGTCTGCAATTTGATCTTAAGCAGAGTATTAAAGGGAACAGGGTACTATTTAAAAGGTGCCTAATCCTTGTATGTGCAGAACAGCACCTCTCACAACTACTGTTGGAACATTCTCATGAAATAAATTCAAATTGATAGTCTCTGATGAGTCTTCATAAATCAGATTCCCCTGAAATACAAAGCACTTTGTTTGACATCACAGACATCTAATGACATAGAATCAAACATTATGATAGGCCTATTTCTAAGATTACTGGAAAAAACCCTTTAATTTAACCAGGTAGATTTCAGTCTGAGATAGTTTATTAATGAACAGACAGGGAAACATGCTAAGAAGTTATCCTCAAAACTCAGGCCTGTTCTGAGACACGGTACACTTGTATCTGGAATGGGTTAGAGGAAGGATAGGATAATAGAGAAAAGGAAATAACAATAGGAAAGTAAAATTTAGGCCTGGGTCCTGAGAGTGGGAAGACAAAGAGCAGAGCCTAAATTGCTCTTATCTGTAACGCTTACTTCCTTAATCCTGCTGAGCAAATAATCAGTTCCTAATTTCTTTGTTGGTCAAAAAAATTTTCTAATTCATGCAATGAGTTCAGAAATAGAATAGAAAAATTATACTATGAAATAAATTAATCTGTTCTAACCACCAAAGCCTAGTTACATGATTAAGTCACATTTTAAAATATATTTCCCGATTCTGTCTGTTTCATTGTTTCCATTCTTTTGTAGCTTTCACTATGTCCTAATTTTCTTGCATGGTCTCTCTTTTTTCCTGAGGAAGTTTTTCATTTAAGTTCATATTCTAAATGACTTTAAATCAGTAATGTAAAAGTAAAGTGAAGAAACTTGATTTTTTTTTTCCTGTTGGCAACTTTAATAAATGAATATAATATACACATTTTCAAAAATTTAAAAAATAATGTATTTGAGAATTTGAATGAGTAAAAAATGACCTAAAAGTTGTACCTGGAGCAACCAAGGACTTGTGACCCTATTTAGCTATTTCTTTGTTCTATTTTGAAAACTTCTTTTTCAGTAGTTCTATAACACAGGGGGTGCCAAAAAATTGTATACACATTTTAAGAGTTGTTATCTATGCTTAAGCAGTAGTTCGTCATAGTCAGAAGTGTCTCGACGCTGATGGTAACCACTTTGAGCACCTCTTGTAATTGCAGAAGTTAAACGTGACTTGTATTCATCTTTTGTTATTGGTATATATTGAGTACTACAATTTTATTAGTTTTTTCCTTTCTTAAAATGTGGAAACATTTTTTTGGCACCCTCTGTATGTTTAGGATAGACACTGAAACTGAGAAAAATTCTGACTAAAATAACTGCCTGGTCATGATTAAGATTAAGTTAAAATGGAAGGATTGGCTACAAGAAAAGAGAAACTGACTAAAACTCAGCATAACATTTTAGGTGGTATATTTTTAAATTATTATCAAATTTAAAATTTATGTTAAAATATACATTGTCACACTCATGACTGAAAATAGAGGTATTGGAGAAGCAGGCAGCATGGGAGAAAAGTAGGGAACATCTTCAGTCTGATAAAGAAAAGCTGCCTGAGTAATCGGGCCTTTCTTTAAGGAGAACTGCTCTAGGCAGTGTTGGTTTTATCCAACCCTTTGTCTTCCTTTTGCCCTTGGCCCCTGCTATCTTCATCTGATCTCTTGGATTTCCAAAGTCCCTACTTAGATAGATCAGAGCACTGCATCCACCGTTCATATTTCCCTATTTCTTACCACTGAAATTTGGCCACCTATACTAATTTCTTAGGGTTCTTGTTTTTGATTAGTTGGAAACAGATGGTGTCTGAGTCAGGATGGAGCTCACTGAAAGCGATTTAGCATAGGCTATGGTAAGTAGAACGGTAAGGAAACTCTTAACAGAATGAGAACACAGTGAGGCCTAATGGCTTCTTAGTTCTGCATCTCTATACTGTTTTCCCTCTCCTCTGCTTCCTTCCACAGCCTCTGCTAACCCCTCACGAGGGCATCCAGTCGTCTTCCTTTGTCTTTATCCTTGGCTCTCCCTTTATTAATTGGCTTCATCACTGTTCAGTTTATCAGGAAAGCACCTTGATTGGTCTCACTCATTTTTTCATAGTAGGCCATTGGTTTGCTAGCTTGTCACAGGCTCCCTCCGTGAGGTGCCCCACTCCTCTTTCCCCAAAATGTGGCCATAGCTGCTGGGAACCCATGAGAGCAGGAATTCTTGGTAGGGCCTGATTTCCTTTGAAGAAACGGTGGGCAAGAAGGCAATGCTTATATGTGGAGCAGACATTTTGGGACATTTGGGAGCCTTGAAGCTCTTCAGATTCCAGGGCTGCCCTATTGAGTGACTGGTGAGCTTAGCAGCACGTCTTGTTTCCTTTAGCTAATCCAGTGGGTTTGGGAGACACTGAGGGAATAACAGGAATCTCTGAATGCTTTCCTCAGCATGGGTAGCACGCTGTAAATTTGAGGATACTTTCCTCCATCTGAAATGGTGATTACATTTTGCCTAACTTCCAAGACATCTTGGCTTGCTAACGAGGTGTACGTGAACACTGACCAACACGCATGCCTCTCAGTGTATTTTCTTGATTACATAACTTATCTAAAAGATAGGTCAGTTCTGGAGAGGCTTCCCTAACACATTTGTCTCTGGTATTGGCTGCATTAAGACCTGGTCGCCTGCGTGTTGATGTGAGTGGCCTTGGGAAGAAAGAAATCCCATCCCCTGCTTAAGGAGCTCTGAGAGAATAAACAAGGATAAGAGTAAAGAGGTCAGTTATCTCTGAGTGCAGAGCTTCATCTGAAAAGCTCCAAGCAGCTGATCACCCTGGGTTACCCAGGCCTAGTAGCTTTTGCTGTCGGCCTCTCTCCTTTCAACACACACACACACACACACACGCACACTGAACTTCCGTTCTACTCATGAAATGTATTATCCATAGTCAAATCAAACTTTCTTGTGTACTACTCGCTTTACACGTGAATTTTCTGCAGGCAGAGCCAGCCACCCTGTCTCTCTTTCCCCGTCTGTAACATCATTCAAACAGGCGGTCAATGTGACAATGTCTCAGTAAGTTTTAGGATGTTTGTTTCTTTTGGACGAACATACCTCCACCAGCTCAGTGTGTCTCGCTCTACCTCTCTGCCTCTTTCCTCTCTCGTGCAAATATACACCGAGTCTGTCACATCATGTACAGATAAACGTCTCGCAGGGCTCCCTAGTTCAATGTCACGCTGGGCAGAAGTGGAGCAAGAGTGGAGGGCAAGCGTGCGGTGTGCGGGCTGGCGGAGACCCTTTCCGGCCAGCAGAGGGCAGCCGAGGGGCGGCGCTGGCGCGCGAGGGCTGAGCGGAGCCTCGCCTCGCTCCAGCAGCCTCAGCCCCAGCCGCGGCGGAGCCAGGAGCGCAGCCACTGAGGGCAGCGGCGGCGGCGGGAGCGAGGCGCGCAGCGATCAGCGGCGCGGGCGGGAAGCAGCATCCGCCCCCCATTCGCTGAGCTCCGTGTCCCCGGCGCCGGGCGGCCGGCGAGTCTGGAGCCCGCGCCGTCGCCGGCCGCGTCCTCCGGGCATGGAAGGAG